ATGCCGAGGGTGCCGCATGCCCAGCACTGGGGCTGCTCCGAGCACCCGCTTGGGGCTGTTCAATGGCAGTGTGACCGTGACACCACAGCAGGACCGGCCCAGCTCGGTGCAAAAGCAGATTAAAGCCCGGCTTTGGGCAGGGAGGTAGAGACCATCCCGTAATTCACAGCCCGTGCGTGTGCAGTGGCACAGGGCAGCAGAACCCAAATCCCCAGCGTGGGAGATGGGCACCCACGGCTTTGATGTGCCAGCAGGTGTGGGGTCTCCTGAACTTAAGCCTGTGTCCATCTTCCTGCAAAGAAACTCACTACAAACCTTTTGCTCACAGTTGTTCATGCAGGAGGAACATGCTCAGTACATACAGAATATTAAAACACTCAAACACAGAAATACTTAATTATCAAACTTTAATTCATAAGACTAATCTTACAGAATAAAACACCAGGATAACCAGTCAAGGTTACACTTAAAAAAATCCAGCAGTGCAAATCTAAGACTAAATATTTGTCATCTCCCTCCCCCCAAAATAGGCAATAGATTATTTAAAAATACCATAATACATGGTACTCACATATTCCATTTAAAATAAATCTGCAGTGAACACAAATATCTAAGCTGGTTTTTTAAAATATAAAACCAAAGAATGAATCGCTTAGAGTATGGATAAGACAGAGTGAACTTCCATGAGCTACCAAGACGAATCCTTGGCTAGAAGGTAAAATGGCCACGTTTCATACCAGCCTTGCTAGGGCTCTCCTGGTCCCCTGCGGTGACAAGGACACTCACTAACAAAACAAGATGCCAGCGGCCTCATCCTAACAGGTGGGAAGAGGTGCTGGACAGAACTGAGGGTGCAAACGGCTCCACTGGAAAAACCAAGTTACAAAGGAAGAAAAGCAAAGCAAGGGGAGTCTGGAAACAAGCCCTGCAAGGCCAGGAGCAGGGAGGGAGCGCCCGAGGCAGCGGCGGGGTCAGGACCGTGGCTGTGGCAGGGGCAGAGCAGACCCCGCCGTGGCACCTGGGCATGCAGCAGCAGGGAATTGTTTCTCTTTGGCCCTTAGAGCACGGAGCAGTGGGCACCAGGCAGCAGGTGCAAGCTGGGCAGGGTGTGTGGCACCAGCACGGTGTGGTGGTGCTGAGTTTATCTCCTTTGAATCCAGATCCCTCTCTTCCGTCACACCAGAACACTCTGACTGTAGTTACACATTCCTCATCAAAGTCATTAATGGAAATTAATCATTTACTTTAAACTTGGTATGAAACCATGCGAGTAACACAAGTTCTTCATGCAAGACAGTCTGTTCAAACCCCAACCGGGCTGAGCAACAACACTTCTGCATTCCCAAGGAAGCAGTGATCCTGGGACTGCTTACACTTGGGATGCACAAACAGAGGAAAGGATACTGAACTTGGGCCAGTTGGGGGGGGGGAACCTTCAGTGCTGGGCATGGAGAGGGGAAGGGATGGCACACAGGTGAGCTGTGGTACCCAGTGTCATGGAACAAGGTAGGGAAGGAGCTGCAGGACTGGCAGGAGGAATCCCAAGATGGCAGCAACGAGGGGACACTGCCTGGGCTCTGGGAGCAGCCAACAGCAAACACCAGCTGTGTCCTGCAGGGACCTGCATTTGCCTCACCAACACTTTAACCTGCAATTAGCAAGCCCAGAAAACACTCAGTGCAACCTCACATGGAGAGGCACCCCAGGGGTCTCCCGGGGAATCACACCTCCACACAGCAGTCGCTGCTGGGAGCACCCTGGTAAATTGTGATTTAACAGAAATACATGTCTGTGCAGCTGGTACTGAATGCCCACAGAATGAATGTCAGATCTCAGAACCATCTTTATCACCAGCTCCAAGTGTACTCACAATTTACTCACACACTGTGTCTCACTGAGGACCAAGCTCCTCCCTGGGATCACTGGTTATGCTGAGTCTGCCTTGGGATGGTCACAGTGACCAGAGAGCAAAATCCAAAGCTGAGAGAGGCAGGCAATGGCTGAGAGGCAACTGTGGCACTATCCCACTAAAAAGAGGGTGTTCCTTAATACCTGCAATAACTGCCTTGGAAAAACTAGTGTATGCCAGAACATACCCAACTCCACATCATTCCCAAAGAGCAAGGAGCCTAAAAGCAGCGCTGCTAATTTCAACTAGAATACTCATTTCAAAGAGATCCCAAGAAGCCTGGGATATTGAGCCAACAAACACCAACTAAAGCATTTATAAGTCACTTTCCTGTATTTTAATTCAAATTTTGCACATAGAACAAAAAAATGAGACATTTTCATTTTTCCAATCAGATCCAACCTGCAAGGAAGCACCTAAAGAGGATCACATTTTCTTACTGTATAGTATTTTCTTCGTGTTTAAAATCTGTACGTAACCAAGGGGTTTGTGCTGAGTGTCCTTTGAGCTGCTGGGCTGTGCGTGGCCCAGGACGGGGCAGCTGTGCCCCTGGCACGGGGTGTGACAGTGCCCGGTGCCCCAGCAGGGGTCAGGGCCTGTCCCCACTGGCCCCACAGTTACTCACCCGGTCGCTGCGTCCTGCACAGAAGCCACAGGAGCTGGGCAGGGGCTGGAACTCGGGCACCAGGGCACCACAACTGCTGCTGCCCTCCCCAGGAGCAAGGGGGTGAAGGGACAGGAAAGGAAACGGAACACTAACAGATGCACTGACAGGTCTGAGCACACTGAGGAACAAATGGGAGCTGATCATCACAGAACCAGCAAGGTGGCAACGTGGCCCTAGGTGACAGAAAGAGCCAGTGTCACCCCTTTGCTTTATCCTGTAGTGCCCACACCTTCCACCAGGTAACCAATTGTTAATTTCAGTCTTTACACCAGGGTTGACAACTAGGAAATGACAAGTGTGATGGCTGTGTTTCACCCACGACATTGCCACCAGTAAAGGCAGGCCAGCTCCTCTCTGCCCCCACTGCCCCAGCCAAGGGAGCTGAACAGCTCTCCTGGCCCAGCCACGCGCGTCAGGACACGCTGCTGCTGCCTTGCACACAGAAAGGAAATACCCCAAGCTACAGGAGTGACAAGCACATCACTAGTTTTTATGTAGGATATGAAACACCTTTAAAACTCATATTGCGTGGCTGTTCAAACAGAAAATGCAAACTAAAAGCTGCTGTCTAGAGGCTACAGGGAAATATGTGACCTCAACACCTACAGAAAGCCAAAGTGTTTTCCAGTCTCTCAAGTAAAATAAATATTCATTTGGGAATTTGCACTGCTGTGCTTCAACTGAGCTCTTCCCTCAAGGAGAGGGAAGAGTGGACATGGAGCATATTCAGATTGGCTGTTTCTGCATGGCATTGAGCTACTGGCCTGGAGCAGCACTGAGCCCCAGTGCTGATGCAAGCAGGGATGTGTGAGCTGCTCCAGTCTGGCTGCACAATGCCACCTGCTATGGGCTTTGCACCTGTGCAGGGCTGAGGGCTCTGTTCAGAACACCTGAGAGAAATGGCACATGGATGGCTGGCATGACACACAGAGCACCACAGCCCCAGGCACAGCACGTTCCTTCTGACAGAATCAGGTGTGAGGGCTTCTTGTGAACTGGAGCAGGAGAAAAGCTGGAAGGTGGTTTACATTTCAAAACATCCCCCACTGAATGGTTAAAGTACGATTCACTGAATTCCATCACTACAAATTTTCAAATCCAGCTCACAAAGACTGCTGCTGTTATTAAGAATCCAAAACAGCCTCGGAGTTTCTCTCTTCCTTACTTCCCCCACCCCAAACAGGGCAGGAAGGTCTCTGTGGTTCCCTCCCTTTGGGAGATCTGTGTCCCCCTGCAGCGTTACGGTGTTTCCATCCATGTCCATGCCACTGTGTCCCCCTGCTCACACCAGCAGCACAAGGGTGCTCCCAGTCCAACAGCTCAGTGTCAACGCAGCAGCTGCAAAATGATCCTGGACTGCAACATGCATGAGCAAGAAAATGCTCCCGAAATGCAGCAGCCCAGGGCAGGAGTGAAGCACTGACCGGGCACGGGAGGGAGCAGCTGGCAGCACTGGGTCACCTGCCACGACAAAGCATCCCTGCACAATTCACCTGCTCCAAACACGCTGCACCGACCAACCTGGAGCTGCCAGACTCGGGAAAAGGCCAGGAAACTTCCCAAGCAAGCAGGGCATCTTTGGGTGAAAACAAAGAATTAGTTCTGCTACCAAGGAGTGGAGGCTGCCCTGGAGGGCCAGCGGGATATGGCTTCACCGAACAGCGACGCTGTGCTCTGCTACAGTTAGCTCTTAAAAATCTGCCCCTCAAAGTCCCCTTCACAACCAAGTCACTAAAGTAAGTCTAATGCTGATAACTGAGAGATTATGAAAATATTTGGTTTTGTTCAAACCATGTAAAAAATCCTCAATAATACATTGCAATATTTTCTCTTTAAAACTAAACTGGAAGATCAACTCTCAGCAGATTTAAGTGTATTACACACAATATTTTGTGAATTCAGATTTATTGATTTCCATTGTATTTGCTTTAAATATGGTTGAAGCTGACTGCAGAAAAGGGATGGTGAAATCTTTAAGTTAAAAGTAAACTAATGGTGAAAGAACATCACCTCTGGCTTCCATCCATGCCTCGTTTAGCATGTTTTAATAATAAGTTCCAGGACTGTCACATCCAGGGATGTTGGAGGCCTCTCCCAGCAGTGTCCTTAGATTTGTGTCATTTTCCCGTGCCAGAGGTGAGCGTGCTTTCAAAAATACTGCCACTTCCCCAGCACCGTGTCTTTGATTGCATCGACATACTGAGTTGGGACCCAATAGACCCAGTAGTAAGATGCTTCTGTTGGGCCCAGCTGAAATGCCTGCAATTAAAAATGACAACATTTACACATGGGAACAAAGAGCTGGTGCCAGTGGACAGGCACAGCTCATCCACTGCCAAACCAGACCAGCCTGTCCCACCTGCTGCTCCCTGCAGCACTCGGGGCATTCCACAGCTCCTTGGTGGGCAATTAAAGGAGCACTGCAGAGAACAAGAGCTGCAGAGGCCGAGGAAACCATGAGCTCTTCCCTTTTACAACATCATAACAGCAACCAGAACTCCCGGCCAGTTTCAGGAACATGAGGAAATTATTCTGGTAGACAACCTGAAGCATAACTCAGAGTCTCCAAAGAAACCTCAGAGCTCAGAAGCCAAACAGGAACTAAACAGGAGAATGACCATGTTTTTATAGTCACAGGATTTTATGTTTAGACATAATGTCCTACTCTCAACTTCCCTCCTATGCCCAGGAGAGGGGCACCATGGCATGCCAGAGCCTCTGCCCTTGCTGTGGGCTAAGTTTATTGCAACTTGTGCTGAAGAGGATCTCTTCTCACATGGGGGATCAAAAACCAAGTACTTGGACAGAGACTAGAGCAGCACCCTCCTGCAGGCCATGACTTTAGGGGGAGGAAAAAAATTTCCCTTTCCTCCTCCTAAAGAGGGAAACAGACTTCTTATAGAAAAGAAACTTACTTCAACATCAAAAGTTAGTTACTGTGCTTTGAAAAGCAGGATCTTAAAAAAAAACATGGATTAAAATAAACAACCAAAATTTCAGTACATTAGCACAGTTCTCTTCTGGAATATAACTTTGCTAGATCCCATGCAAGTTGGTCAGAAAATTACAGGTGTGAAAAGACATTACAGCATCAAATCCCTTTTTTCTTAACCTCCATCAAGGCCTGTTGTTCATATAAATACCACAGAATCAAGACATTAAACCAGGCACCAAAAATATCCCTACCGTTAAGAAATCATGAGCTATGTTGTGAACATGTTTACTGGTTTAACACTGTCACAGTCAGAAGATACAAAATAAATGCTTAAGCACGCCATGTTTGTGTGAAAACACTCTGGATTTCCACAGAGCTGCAGATATTAAATGTGGACCCAAAATATTGACAGTGTGAGAGGAGCCCATGTCCCATCTGCACAAGGCTGGAACCACCATCCACCTCCAGCCTGCTCTGACCTGCAGCCTCAGCAGTGTGTGCTGCATGAAGGAATCAGATGGATATGATTAAAGCAGAGCTGTTACTCACCATCATGTGATAATCCTCATGGCCTTCAATAGGTTCACTCACCACATTTTTAATGGACCCCATGGGTAACTTTTCTGTTCTCTCTACATTAAAATTGATCAAAGTATTATTTCTGACATGCGGGGAAGCAGTATTTCATATTCACTTCATACACCACCTCCATTAATGCCAACATCTCCTGAGGCCAGCAGTGTCCCCTCCAGGTGAGTTTTGGACACCTGCTGCCCAGGACGTGGTGGCTGCAGCACCACACCCCCCACACCCACAGCTGGCACCCAGCAGTGTGAAGGAACCCAAACCTGGATCACACAGTTCCCCTGCATCACATGAAGCACTTCAGTGCTCATCATTTGGGCCTAGACTGAGTGATGGGAAATCCCAGGATTTACTTAAATGTTTTCCCATAAGGAACTCCCCTGGAGCAGCAGGGATGCTCATCCTATGGAATCCAGTCCAGGTATGGGAACACTCAGGATGGACTGCCAAGGATTGCACTGAACTCTCAACAGCAAGCCTGAAAGCTGCCAAAGATAAGCTGACCTAACTCTGAAAGCTTAGGCCAGGCTTTACCCTGAGGCAGCGTGCAGAGAACACAGGGAAGGGAATATAACACAGAAAATAGGGAAAGAAACAGGTGAGAGAAACTGAAGCCCCAAAAAGACTACAATTACATGGCAGAGTAACATCAACAGCCAGAGGCAATGACAAGAGCCACAAGGAACATGGTCCAGGGCAGAGCTTTCCCATCAGCTCTGTCCTCTCTCCTTTCTACACACTCAATTCCAAGGTCCTGCCTTTCAGTTCAAGCATCCAGCATCAGCTGAAAATTATCTTCTGGATACAATACAGAGAATACCCAAAACACTTTACAAAGGACAAACTGAACTCTTGAGACAGATCTATTTGTTATCCAAAAAACCTCAAACCTACCTACAGAAAACACACAAGGAGATAAACAGTGATATAAGGAAAAATATTCTCTGCCTCATAGCTGAGCTCAGTCTGTACTACCTGTTCAGACCTGTGACTCCATTCATGAGGTAAAACCCCATTTTGCCCTTGTTTAGCACCCCCCAAATAAATTTCTGCTCTGAGTATCCCAGCAAGAGACAAATCCCATTATCCACGCCTCTGTGCAACTGCCACTGGGGAACAGCTGCCTGTGCCAAACTTCAGACTACAAACACCTGCACAGACCCCTGTGAGGCTGCAGGGCTGGGGTAAGAACCACTCCAACTGTGCAGGGCCAGCAGGTGACAAGCTGTGCCAACACCCAGATGTATTCACTCCAGCCCTTACCTGCTGGCCTCTGCCACGGCTTCTCAGAGGAGGAAGGAGTTTTTCCCAATAACAGCCAGCAATTACAACCATTCCCTAGAGGCTGCAAGCTGCTGCTAACTCGGGGGAGCAGGGAAACAGCTTACAGGAAACACATGACTATAAGAATCAAATTCACAGCTTAAGCAATGCCATGTAGAACACCCCAGAAACACTACACTTGGAAACTCATCTGGGGGGTGATGGAAGAGATCAATCCCCTAAATACTAATCATGAACTTAGAACCTGGGATCAGTAACAGAAAAATCTGCCTGCCCAACCTAGAGAGTTAAAACCACCCCCAATGCCTTGCTCCACCACTTTGCCCAGGAGGAAATCATTGCAACTGGCACCTAGAGAGGTTTTAAAGCCAAAAAAAAGCTTCACAGTCAAGTCTGTCCTACAAAGAAAGGGTCAAAAACTTCTGAGATTTCTGCTTACTTTGGACCTACTGCAGCAGCTGGAGGCAGTACAACCACCCAGTCAGGCTGCTGTACTGGGACAGGGAGCAAGCACTCTCATCCCTTCTGCTCATCACTACATATTGCCCAGCCCAGCCAATCTGAAGGAGCACAGCTTCCTTGGCAGGTGGGGGATCCCAGTCCAGCCCCAGGCAGCAATTAAGCACCACGCAGCCACTCACTCCCCCTGCCCCACCGGGATGGGGAGGAGAACTGGGAAAAAGTGAAAAACGCATGGTTTGAGCTAAGAACAGTTTAATGACTGAAACAAAGTAAAATATACTACTACTACTGATGGTAATAATAATAGTCACAAAAAAATAAAAAAGAAACTCCATAGAAAGCAGTGATGCCCAATACAGCTGCTCCTCACTGCTGACTGATGTCCAGCCTGCCCCCCTTCAGTGACTAGTCCCTCCCAGCCAACTGCCTCCAGTTTTCTGGACATGATGCTTTATGGTGGGAAATGCTCCTTTGGCCAGCTCTGGCCAGCTGTCCTGGCCAGTTCCCTGCATCTCCTTGCATGCCTCCTCACAGGCAGTGTCTGAGACAACAAACAGTCCTTGACTGAGGGAAGCACTCCACAGCCACAACCAAAACACCCACTGTTATCAGCACTGCTCCCATCCCAACCCAAAACAGCTCCTGGGAAGAAAGCTAACTCTATCCCAGCCACAACCAGGACAGACATCCCCAGCTCTTCCTGGCAGCACTCACCACTGCACACCAAGCCCTCTGCACAGCACCACAGCTGAGCGTTCCTGAGACAAGACATTCACATAATGTCAGCTGGAAGCACACAGAGTGCCAGAGATGCCAACATTCCCAATTTCTATCCCAGCTCTGAGTTTTCCCTCCAAGTCTTGGCTAAGCCATTGGGCCCTTGTATACTGCTGGCATCAAATCCATGCTGCTTATGGAGTGCTTTGAGATATACCAGAAATGCCCATTTACATTTGGAGCCAGGAACAGCACCTTGGACCCTCAGTCTGCTGACACCACTGAAGTGCAGTTTTTCAGGAACTGATGTGGAGTATCAAGTACTATTCAATGCCCTGGGAGAATGGCACGTGAGGAAAGGAAACAAAGCTTTTTGAAGCATTGCAATACCAACATCATTCCCTAAACACAGTTTAGTCAGAGGAGAAGCTTTTCTAGGTCACACAGTTCAGTCACAGCCCCGTCACCAAGTGCTCATCCCCGAGGCTGAGAGGTGCTCACCTTTTGTACCAATCCAGAGCTGGTCTTGCTCGAGTTTGAAGGTCAGCCTGACTTTGCCCCCTGACTTGTTGTACATGCCGGACAGCGGCACCGTGGGCAGCCGCTCCTGCAACGAGACACGGCCGGTCACGCCAGGGCTGGGCAGGAAACACACAGACTGCCAGCTTTCTCAGCAAAAGGACCACCCAGCCCTCCAGCCTTCTGCCACAACAGCAACGAACCACTGGGAAGGGTCTCAAACCACAGAGAAGTCTCTTTGTGACTCTGAGTGTCTCAAGGCTTTATTCACGCACCTGCACGCCTTTGACAGAAGGCATCACGTCGTCAGGTTTTCCTTTGTCCAACACTTTTCTGTGTTGCTGCAACACAAAAATAGAAATTAAATTCACAGGAATGGTACAAAGCTTGCAGTGTGCTTGCAGCTGCCCCCTGACCAGATCCCAATGGCACTGAGACACAGCTGAGGGCTGCTCACAGGCACTGATCACACGGGCATCAGTGACCTTCAAACTTCATTGTGCACTTTCAAAATACTGCCAAGAAATTATCAAAACGAGTGGAACTCCAACACAATGCCAAGGATAACAGCCTTCTCAAATATACACACACATAAATACAGGTGTATAAAATCCAAAGTGTTACATCCAGTGAATGGCAGAAATTCTCCACATCTGGCAGTGCAGCCCAGCACCAAACCAGCATGGATCAGAGCAGCGGTAACAGTCAAATCCACACTCACAGCTTGTACCTGGCTGAGCACCTTAAAAATGATGGGATTTACACTGAGTGTGAACATGATCAATCACAGAAAACCATCAGCATGCTTCATGGAGGCACTACTTAATTTAACCAAGTTTATTTTGAGCAAGGTACAGGGCTGGTAATACCTTGAGCTGGCAATCCTTCAGCAGCCATCAAACCAGCCACACTGCACTGTGCTACAAAATGTGAGAGGAGAATTCAACACCCACATCCCTGTCAGGGCTGGGACAGCTGAAGGAATTGCTTTGTGATTGTTTTGAGCAGTTTGGAGATCAAATTATTTTGTGCCAATAAAAAATAATTAGGTTTTAGACAGAGTTAATCTGGGCTGGGTTTGCACTAACAACCACCAAATGTTTCCATTTCTGGACCAAAATGCTTGGCTGTGCCTGGCAGCACAAGCAGTGCCTTGCAAAGCCCCAGTCCCTGCTGTACTAAACAGTTCTGTGCTGCTCCCCTGCCCAGAGTCCTTCCAATGCTGAGCTGTCAGAAATGAACCCCCAACCTGACCTGAGGAGGAACAGGACCCACAAGTGCCTGCAGGAGAATCACATAAATCCTACCGCTCCCCCACACCAGCAGTTATTGAGATATTAATTACCTTTTGTCTGCAAAGTGGCTCCTTTTTGTTTTCCTCAGCTTTGACGTCCTGTTGAGCAGCCTCTTTGGGTGTATTTACTGCTAACACATCGTTGATGGTAGAGCCCACAACCATTATCTTTGCTCCGTTCGTTACTTTGATTTCCCGCAAGGTTTTCTCCTCGGGCAGCAGTCCCTTGAACATGACCTTCTGCATGGCGGGCGGGAGGCCTAGGGGCAAGCACAGCGATTAGGAGCGGCG